GCTGAATGACCCATTATTGTTTTGATGTTCATATCTATTTCATTGACAAATTTCTTGTCACTTTCTCCTGTAATAATTAATTTTAAAAACCAATCATATTTACATACATTTTAGGTTTTGTTCTTATAAAGTAATAACAAATATGATAATATTTTTTAATCTTTATTGTTGAAAGTATTACATATGCCCCCTTTTTTTCTCATTGACCTCTCCCACCTCGCACCCACCCCACCCCAGGTCTTCACCAGCCTATTGTCTGTGTCCGTGGATTATGCATATATGCATACTAGAGGCCTGGTGCATGAAATTTGTGCACAGGTGGGGTCCCTAGGCCTGGCCAGTGATCAGGGCCGATTGGGGGCCATCTCACCCAGTCCCGATTGGGGCCGGGATGATCAGGGCCTGCCAGCTGCTATCTGGGGCCTGCGTGGTAGCCTGGAGGGAGTCAATGGGGGGAAAAGGAGACATATGTAATAGTTTCAACAATAAAAAATTATAAAGAAAAGAAATACATTTTTAAAAAGAAAATCATGCATGCATGAAATTTGATGTCAGTTCCCAAAATAGAGTAAATTCAAAATAATTAAGATGTACCTACACCTATAAAATTTGAAAATAAATGAAGGGAAGGGGAGGTTTTAAGTGGGGAAGGGACATATGTAATACTTTCTACAATAAAGATTTATTTTAAAGAAGAAAATAAATGAAGGAATGCTTTTAATCTCTCTTTCTCTCATGTGTGGGTTGTGTGTGTGTGTGTGTGTGTTTTCCATTGGAATTAAACTTAAGAAATAAAATATATAAAATAAAATATTTATTAACTAACACAAGTCTCTGCCTCATCACATCCAATTAACAATGCATCTTTGGAACAAAAGTAAATTTAGATCAGTAGAGATTTTACACTGTGTCAAGGATTAAGCTCATTTAACTAACAAAAGTCATTATAATTATATTAGCAAATATATTCATAATCCCACAGGCACCAGGCAGGTGAGGGCATGAGTGGGGGGGTAGTGGGAAATCGGGGACGGGGGGATAAGGACACATATGTAATACCTTAATCACTAAAGAAAAAAATAAAGCAAACTTGTTGATTAATTTAAAGAAGATGCGATATTTTCCATAGAATGCTCTTTTAAAAAATATATATCTTTTTATTGACTTCAGAGAGAGAGGGAGAAACATTGATGAGAAAGAGTGATTAGCTGTCTCCTGCATGCCCCCTACTGGGGATTGAGCCCAAAACCCAGGCTTGTGCCCCGACCAGGAATCCAACCAGATACCTTTTGGTGCATGAGATGATGTTCAACCACTGAGCCACACCTGTCTGGCATAGAATGCTCTTTTAAATGTAAATGTTTAGTTAGGCCTAGATCATTTACCTAATAGAATATTGTTATATTTATAAATCTGTGACACTATATTTTTTTCCTAAAAAATTCTCCAGAAATAATAGACTTTGGAAAACACATTTTAACATAAAAGAAATCAAAATTGGTTCTAATTAGTTTTTGTCAAAAGTAAATATTTACTCATGGGCATTATAAAGAATTATTCTAGCAATTATTTATAAATACCAACTCTATTTTTTTTATTTTTTTTTCTCCTTTGGTTGATTAAATCTGTGACTGTGTTTCTAAAAATCAGTGTAGATAAATCATAACTCTGAGAGTGTAGAAAATACTGATGACAGAGACATGTCAATTATAGGTCTATCTAGCAGAAGTTGAAATCTTCTGGAAATTATAAACATTAATTTCTTAAGTATGTCTCCTAGTAAAAGTCTGAGGAGACAATACATGGAAATCCTATTTGCTAATGAAAGAGAAAAGGTGAGTAGTAAAACAGAAAAGTTGAAATATCCCATCTCATATCCAAAAAATATCTGACTTCTAGATAAAAATGGAACAACATTCTAGGTTTTTGGAAGCATTTCTCAGAAATGTTATGGAAAAAAATAAGTATAGATGCATGATTCACAATTCTACAACAGTGTAAGATGAATGGTTCACTCTGACACAAAACTCATGATAATCATCTCATCATTTTCTATGTAGATGAGACCAAGAACCCTCTCACCAAGACATATTTGCCAAATGAATTCAGATTTAAAATTACCTTGATAAACATGGAAATATATTTTACTAAAGGTAACAGGAAACCAGGAAATACAACATAATATGAATTATATCAGAGATTTACAAAAAGAGTAAGCTCATGTTTATAAAAATATTAAGAAAATTTAAATAACATATAAACTAATTTTGAAATGAGAAGAATATAATTGCCCCAAAGAAGTAATAACAAGAAACAAAATAGTCTTTGATTTAAAAAACCTGTTCTCCACCAATCCCCTCCAAAATTGCTTTCTAGAATAAGAAGTGAACTTTAAATGTGCCAGTATGTTATAAGGGATCATTGCCAAAATAAAATTGCAATTTGGAGAATCACAATGAATGAAGAGTAGGAGTAAGAGGACATTTATTTTCCAAGAGAAAAGCATATTTATCTTATTTATCCCTGAACACAACCTTGAAATTTGTCTTTTTTATTTGTTTTTTAGTAAGTAACTGACATGTAGAGCATGTAGTTATGTTTGTCATATGCACACACTGTACTCTCCATAGAGAGTACATATACTTGAGAAAAATATTTTAGATGACTTATGATTATTCATCAATTAGTCAATAATCATAGCCAAGAGACAATAACAAGGAAGAAAACTCTCTAAATAGAGACTAGCTATCCTAATATATGAAAGGTTAAGCGACCATCTGACTGTCCAACCAGTAGCTATGACATGCAATGACCACCATAGGGCAGATGCTCAATACAGGGTGATGCACCCAAGAACCAGAGAGGAGGGAGCCCCATTCTGGGGTTCATCACTCAAGAACTGCCCCCTTGCAACCCGGGACCCCTCGGGGGGTGTCAGAGAGTTGGTTTCGGCCTGATCCCCTCGGGCCAGGCTGAGGGACCCCTCCTGCCGGAGGGACCCTGCTCACTCTGCAGATGCCCTTCGAGCCCTGACACCGCCCCAAATGTGGCCGGCCAGGTAGGGACCAGGGGAGGTTGGCTCCAGGGCGTGTCCGGTCTGTCTTGTCCAGTCCCACCCCACTGGCCACCTTCTAATTAATTTCCTTTCAATGTGCATGAATCTGTGCACCGGGGCACTAGTGCTTTAAGTAAAAAGGAAACCAAAAGTGAACAAATATGTGAAAGCAGGATGAAGAATTCTTGGGGGACATAAGAGGGGTGGGCTTTCACCTAGATCCCTTGCTAAAACAGTACATTTTGAGTAGTGATAGAAAGTACATAAAGGAGTGGGCCATGTGAATATATGGAGGTAATGGATCACACTATCTTCACTTTCACTGCATGAAAACACATGCTTGTCTTGTCCAACTCTCACTGACCACACCGTCTCAGTGCTTTTATCTTCCTCCTCATGACCCTGATAACATCATGGGCTTAGTACATGGAGAGGAATTTCAGCTTTAACTATGGTACCTTTTGGTGATTATTTCACTTGGTTAATATTGAGTAAAATATTCTTCAAAATCTCAAATTCTGTAATGGATGTACAATATTTCACATACAGGAAATTAGATTTTTATGGCTCTCTCTCTCTCTCTCTCTCTCTCTCTCTCTCTCTCTCTCTTTCTCTTCATTTTCATTTTCCTGCATGTGAAAAATAGGAAAGGCTGTAAAGAGGATACCTAAGCATTAGGTGAATAGCTTGTATTTAACATTGAGGCATGTAGAAATAATGTTCATGGTATTTATTCAGAAGTATCCCTTTAATTTTGAAAAGAAGAAAATATTATCTTGCTAATTTGTTTGGATATCTATTTTTAAGAGTATACTAATAATGGTTATAGCTATTGATATTGAAATTTATATTCAGTTTTTAGGCCATCCGGAATATGTTATTTACATATGCCAATATTCTCTGCTTCTTAATGTGCAAAGAATCCAAATTTTGGGATTGTTTTCTCTCACTAGAGATGAATAATGTCCCATAAAGCTCTGAGTGATGTGGTTTTGCCTGTGCCATTATTTTACTATTCAGATTTCAGGCACATCACACTCCTTAGGGGACTCAAGTTCCTCATCCTTAAAATACAGGAGCCGCACCATGATCGGAAAGGTTTCCTGAAACATTAAAAAAATAACAAAAATACAAATAAGACTCCCCTGCTTTTGCATTTACTGGTTGAGACTAACATAAACTCCAAGACCATTCTATATCAACACTGGGATATTTATATTTCTACAAACAATAGCTCATGTCTCCCCAAACAGATGTTCAAACAAAATCTTAAAACTAATTGGCCCCAAGGTACTGTGGGTGATAAAGGAAAAAAACAAAACAAAAACTAATGTTTGTGCCATGCTAGAAAATAAAATGTGAATTCTTATAAATTGTATCATAATATGTTTCCTGAAATCAGTGCAGATGAGAGCAAGTTCATTGGTACTTTTACTAGATGGATGCGAAAGCACTCAGGATGGTACAAGAGGTCTTTTAAAAATCCTTTTGTGTTAACAACTGAAAATGTTGTAATATAATTAAAATCAAGGGAATAAGCCAAGTTAAATTTACTATTCAGTGTTTGTTTTTCTCTTTAGGTTATTCATACCATCAGTGCCACCGATAAAGATGATTTTGCCAATGGACCAAGGTTTAACTTCTTTCTTGATGAACACCTGTCTATAAATCCAAACTTCACCCTGAAGGACAATGAAGGTGAACATAAGTACATATATTTTTTTTTATCAGTTTTGACTTGATGTGGAATAGGCCTGAATAGTTTTGCTATATTCTTTTATATCCATGGACAGCTTGCAAATCAGCTTCTAGAGTCAGTTTGATGTTAATATGTTATGATCTGTGAATAGCTTGTATTTAAAATTGAGACATATGTACAAATAACTTTCATTGAATTTATTCAGAAGCATCCCTTTAAATAAGAAATGTACATGTAATGTGCTCTTGGGAAATTTTTAAGAGAAATCTTAGCTGACAAACATGTTTATGAGAACTGCTGGAACTGCTAGGGGTGGAAAAATTTTAAATTAGGAAAAATGAAAAATATATCCTAGGGACAGTTAAGAAAAGAAATGCAATGTTTGAATCACCTTGCATTAGCAAGATTGCCAAGATGTGCTGTACGAATTACATTTCCTCTTGTTGTTATGAATATTTTTCAAAACATGGGTAGGTAAATATGCATAACTACAGAGTACTATGGAAATTTTTGAACACCACAGTTTAATCAGAGAAGATTTATCATGGTTTAGAACCCTATTTGATAGATTCCTCCAGGTTCCGTAAAAGTCATTCTTTCATACATAAGGAAAACATCAAGTCATTCAATATGTACAGTTCCTGATTAGCATCAAGTTTCTTGTCCCCAAGGTTATCTTTGATCACATTTCTCTGAAATGCTGTTATTTAGGATTTAACACTTGACTTTGAATAACAAAAAAGAAATAATGGTATATGCCATCGTGTGTATGACAAATTGTATTTAATTGACTATTGTACCATATTTACATTTGAAATTCCATCCTACAATTCCAAATATACTTAGTGGAATTAACCATACTAAATATGTAAAAAATAAATTAGTATTTCCCCATATTGTAAATAAGTTCATGATTTGGGTAGCATTCAACTTTCTCTCCTAGGAGATTGAAACCATGTCTAGATACCCATATTTATATTTCAGCGGGAACTGTTGTTGAAGCACACATTAGTGACTAATGTGTAAAGTCCTTCCTACTAGATTAGAATATCTGGAATTTGTGAATTTGATGAATATATTCAAAAGGCCTTACTACAGTGACTTGACCACATTTTCAATGCTAGAAACTCATATAGGAACATTTAGAAATCTATTTATAATACTGATGTAAATCTTTTAACATTTATTTTAGTCATACATATAAATGCTTGAGTCAGCTACACAATCTCAAGTATGAGAAAACTATGGATAGTTGTGTAGGAGTAAAGATGTTTGAATTTGTCCTGCTGGTTGAGCATTGACCTATGAACAAAGAGATCATGGTTTGATTCCCAGTCAAGTCACATGCTCAACTTGTGGGCTCAATTCCCAGTGTGGGGTGTGCAGGAGGCAGTGGATCAATAATTCTCTCTCATCATTGATGTTTCTCTCTCTCTCTCTATCTCTCCCTTCCTCTGTGAAATCAATAAAAATATATTTTTAAGAAAGATGTTTGAATATTTGTAAGACTTTATTTAAATGTTGAAAATACATAATATTATAAATAACAGAAATAATATATTTGAGATAGAAAAAAAACCTGTTTTCAAATTATCAGGGATTATACTATCTAAATCTTTATAACATATTGATACCTGTTAAGATATGACTCTTTTCTAACTATACACCTCTTTGATCTTTTTTTCAACACATTCTTGATTTTCTTGGTCCTTTACAATTATCATTTTATTGGAAGATTATTAAATTCAGTTCATGACTAACATTACATTAGGGTTTTAGACTAAGATAAAAATTTCAGAGTTCTTATTCAATCATTTGGTAAGAGTCTATTTAAAAATATAATGAGATATCTTTAAGCATGATATTTCATCTGATTGCATCTATAGTATATTTGAACCACTATCTGTGTATATGTTCTCCCACTCAGTGGGTTGTCTTTTTATTTTTTTGATGGTTTCTTTTGCTGTGCAAAACATTTTAGTTTGATGTAGTCCCATTTGTTTATTTTTCCTTTTGTTTCCCTTGTTGGAGGAGATATATTAGAAAAGGTATTGCTACAAGAACTGTCCAAGATTTTACTGCCTATTGTTTTCTTCAAGATTTTTTATGGCTTTTGAAATCTACCAGCTAAGTCTTTACTCTATTTTGACTTTTTTCTTGTGTGTGGTGTAAGAAGGTGGTCTACTTTCATTTGTTACACGTATTGGCCCAATTTTGCCAACGCCATTTATTGAATAGACTATGTTTCCCCCATTGTATGTTTTTGTCTCCTTTGTCAAATATTAATTGGCCACAAGGTGTGGATTTATTTCTGGGTTCTCTATTCTGTTCCATTGATATATATGTTTTTATGCCAATACCATGCCATTTTGATTACTATGGCCTTATAGTATAGTTTAATATCAGGTATTGTGGTTTCTCCAACTTTGTTCTTCTTTCTCAAAATTGCTGTGGCTATTCGGGTTCTTTTGTAGTTCCATATAAATTTTTAGAATATTCGTTCTAGCTTTGTGAAACACCTCATTGGTATCTTGGTAGGAATTGTGTTGAATCTCTGGATTGCTTGGGGTAATATGGTGTTAATTCTTCCTATCCATGAACACAGTATATATTTCCACTTATTTGTAACTTCTTCAATTTCATTCTTCAGTGTCTTATAATTTTCTGAGTACATGTCTTTTACATCCTCAGTTAATTTATTTCTAGGCATTTTATTCTTTTTAAAGCAATTGTGAATGAGATTGTTTTCATAGTTTCCCTTTCTGATAGTTCATTATTGATGTATAAAATGCAAATAATTTATGGATATTTATTTTGTATACTGCTACGTTACTGAATTCATTAGTTAGTTCTAGTAATTTTCTGGTGGACTATTTAGCATTTGCTATATATATATATACAGTATTGTGTCATCTGCAAATAATGACAGTTGTACTTCTTTCTTTCCAATTTGAATGACTTTTATTTATTTTTCTTGTCTGATTGATGTCACTAGTACTTGAAATACTATGTTGAGTAAGGGTGGTAAAAGTGGACATCCCTGTCTTATTCCTGATCTTAAGGGAAACACTTTTAGTTTTTGCCCATTAAGTATGATAGTATGATGTGGGCTATGAGTTTGTCATATGTTACCTTTATTACATTGAGGTATGTTCCCTCTATTCACACTTTGTTGAGAGTGTTTATCATAAATGTGTACCAGATATTATAAAATGCTTTTTCTGCAGTGATTAATATAATCATGTGTTTTTTATCCATTTTTTTAAATGTATATCAATTTTAGCAATTTGTAGGTGTTGTACACCTTGTATTCCAGGAATAAATTCCTTAATCCTGGTGTATTATCTTTTCAATGTATTGCTGAATCTGGTTTGCTAATATTTTGTTTTCTTTTGTAATACACGTGTCTGACTTAATCTTTATTTGTTGAGGCATCTGTCTCAAAGATAGTTATCTGTAATCAACCATTACCAGCCACAGGCTGCCTCCCTCCACTCCAACCCCTTTCTTTTAGAGACCTTGACTAATTTCAATAACTGATCATTTGGGCCGCTTTTTTTCTTCTTCTCTGTCCACATTTTAAATCCCCACTTCTATGTTTCACATTCATAGAAAGCCCACAAAAATCTAGGTCCCTGCCCTTAACCCCACTGAAAGCAGCACCCCAAGACCCATATGCACAAACTCATTCTCTACCTGCAACCGCGTTGGCCCCAGGTGTGCCATGTAGTTTCCCAGACATGTAAGCAACAAACCTTCTTCCAAAGTTTTCTGGTGGTTACTGCTGACGCACAATAAGAACCACAAGGGCTGGCCCAGCCACAACAGAGGTTATTCATAGGGTGCGATAAGGAGCACACAACAAGGTGCTCCTTAAGTATGGTACTAGTACAGGAATAGATAGGTAAATGAGAGCAAATTTAGAGGGCTAAAATAAATAGGTGGATGTCTAAGTCTATGTATAAATGTATGAACTTCACAGAAGGCCAAGGTAGGATTTTTAACCATTGTGGGAAGGAAAATTCAAAAAGTACATTGAAAGAGACCAACTGACTACCGTATTTGCCGGTGTATAAGACGACTGGGCATATAAGACGACCCCCTAACATTTCCACTCAAAATACAGAGTTTGTTATATACTCGCCGTATAAGACTACCCCCTCTTCCGCACACCTTCCACACACCAATAAAAGGTAAAACAATATCAGATTTGATTTTAACATTTTAATTTATATTCAAATGCTTATGACATGCAGGAAAACTGTCACAAGGCTGTATGTAATCAAACATATACATAAAACAGTGCAAGTTTATTACCGGTAAACATACCGGTAATTCACTAAAGAAAACACACTGTATAGACTGGTACCGTAGATGCTTCTCAGGAACACAGGCAAGCAGCCCACAACCTAGAGGGACTGTCAATGATAGAAGTAAGATAACAAATAGAGGGAGAGAGCA